TGAGGTGGTACAAGATTTCCTCCATCAACAGTAGGGCAGCAGGGGACTCCCAAAAAGGACACCTACTTGGAGGGTCAGGGGTGGGGGACTTAGCAAGTAGGCTACTAATGTGGATAGTTGGGGTTATCAGGTGGCTTACAGCCCCCCCTAGCCCTAATTAAGCTCTAAACCCTAGGCTATATAGCGATTTCCATGTTCTTTTCCAATCCTACCTGTCCCTATGTATCCCTACATACTCCCTTTACAGGGAACCACGTCCCCCTGACCCTGAAAGTAAGCCGCAAACCCTAGATCCCATACACCCTACAAAAGTCCAGTTTCAATGTCATTTCCATTTCTTTTCCATTAGATTCTCCATTATCCCATCATTGGAGTAATATCCCTAAAGCCTAAACCGAAATCCTGAAATTTCCTTATAAAAATGTATGCGTACCAAGTCCCCTGACATTACGCCCTAAACCCTTGATTGTGCGGCAGCTTCCTCCTTCTTTTCCATTCCTAGGAGGTCCCCCGAACCCTCCAAGTTTTCAGCGGGAAATCCCCAGTTCAATCATGGACTAGCGTTGCCAGGTACGGACGGTGCCGAAGCTCTTGCCCAGAAGGTTAGGGTTTAGGTTTAAGGGGTTACAAAGATGGCACCCCCAACATGATCCTTTTACTGCACTGGGGAGGGAGTTCCAATTCTGTAATTCTCACGAGGTCTGGATGGCACCTACTTCCAACTTCTCCTGATGCCCGAAACATGATTCAGGTTTTCGGGTACCCGGAAAACACTACCCCCAACAATGGACAATCGACTGGAACATCCAAATGGGAAATTAGGGCTATATAAGGATTCTAGCCCCTCCCCGCAAAATAGCTCCTCCCAACCGCCTAATAACAAATATTCCCGCTGTCAAACATTGGTACTATATTGTAGGCAGTTATTAGTGGGGTAAGGGGATCAGTATTGGAAACAGAGGATTAGGGGTATCCTGAAAACGTTCCCTAAACCCTATAACCCTAAACCGATACACCAGCGTGGGTAGATGCATTGCCCATGCTTGCGCTGCTATGAGCTGTGTCTGGGCCAGGCATCATGTCTTTTCCGCTTCTTTTTGATGATGGCCTCACATGAACTGTAATCTAGACTCCTCAGAGGGGATTATATAGGGATGGGACATACAGGGGGATAGTATAGGAATATATAGGGGAATGGAAAAGAACATGGACACTACTATTTGAGCTGCAGTCTAAATTCCTTAAAAGGAATTATATAGGGGAGTAGTACAGGGCTGATTAAGGGGGATACTCGGAGTTTAGACCCTAAACCCTAAATCATCAACCCCTAAGCCCCTAAATCCTAAACCCTTTATCCCTAGGAGTTGTTCAGGGGGATACAAGGAGTTGAGACTATAGCTTACGTGTTTGGAAGCGTGACGCTTCAACACACTTGCGTCCACGCATAGATCAAACAGCTCAGGGCGCTGATCTCTGCACTTTTTTATGCTGTCACATTGATAATGGAAAAGAAAAAGGAAACTACTAGAATAGCATAGTAAGGTTTAGGGTATAGGGGAGTTTGGGGTTTCCCAAAATTAGGTGTACCTTATTGGGGTCTCCATAATAAAGGTTATAGTTTTCTGAGGTCTACACTGGGGTCCCCTGTTTCGGGATACTACCATATCCATGAAAAACAACATGGCAAGTACTATAACATAACAGGGTATATAGAAGGGTTCTCTAAACGTTATACTGGGATAATGGAAAGAAAATGGAAATTACACTAATATATAGAGGACAGCACAGTAGAGCTGGGTAATGCTGACATGTTTCAGGGTTTAGGGTGGGTATAGGGTTTAGGGAGGGCTTAGTGTTTAGTGCTTATGCAGCCAGACAGCTTTTGTACGTCCTTCATCCACCAGCTCCATGAGACCCATGTGCTTGTCGGCTGGCAAGGGCGTGCCTAAGCATGGGAGCTTTTCAAAAAAGCATTCGGTCGGGACCCAGAAAATTTGGAGGACTAGGGGCAACTTCTGCGGGCACATATTCAGGATTACACAGGGACACTTCTTGAGCAACTCTTACATGTTGTGTTGCCACTCAGGGGAACCTCTGTAACCATGTTCGCTGTCACAAAGCGACACAATTGCATGCGCCTGAATCTGCCCCGGAACCCTTCCAAGAATTATGTCGGCTGCTCAGCTGCTCCTTGGGGTCAGAATACTCCAAAAATGGAAGTAGTTGTCAGGACACATGGTAGTTTCCCAAAAGAAGGGGACCCCAATATAGACCCCAATATGCTATAGTCCTTATTAATGGGACCCCAAAATGGTACCCCTATTTTTGAGAAACCCGAATCCCTATAATCTCCTACATAATTGCAGTTTCCATTTCATTTTCCATTGTCTTTTCCATTCGATTCTCCATTGTAGTAGGTACCCCGATTTTTAAGAAACCCCCACATTGTGACCAAGTGGCAGTCGGCTTGCTCCAGGGCCTTGCTTTTGAACCTTTCGGCCCCAAGAAACTGGGTTGCTGTTAAGGAACTTAGTTTAAGTTACTATATTGGGGGGAACCATATTAATTACTATATATACCCATTATGGTAACTAATTTAAGTTCCTTAACAGCAACCCAGGAAAGGTAGCCGCAGCACATGGTGAGCCCGTCTTTCAATGCATGCCTGTATCCAACCAAGCTACTCATCGAAGGAGGGGAGAACCTTCGTCCCAAACTTCCTTGCATCATACCTGCCAATCCAGCTGTAGGCGAATAAATTCTGAACTGGGATTTTCACAATTTAGGGCCAGTTTTTAAGAGGTCTTTTCTAAGAATGAAAACATACTGAGGTCTATGATGGGTGCTCCTTATCTATGGAAGGTACCACATAATCCTCATAGAACCCTGTATATACATAGGTCTAGCTTTCATGTCGGTCTCCATATGATTTTCCAGTTGATTCTCCATCATTGGGGCTATATCCCTGAATCCCATATGTGCCATAGTCTAAACTCCTTAAAGGAGGTTATATAGGGGACTGCTATAGGGGTTCTTAAGGGGGATACTTGGAGTTTAGACTATGGCTCATATGACTGAACCCGAAACCTAAACCCTAAGCCCTAAACCCTAAACCCTCAAACCCTAACCCTAGAACCCTAAACCCTAAATCCAAACCCCCAAGCCCTGAACCCCAAAACCCTAAGGCCTGAACCCCAAAACCCAAAGCCCTAAACCTTAAACAGTAGCTTCCATTTTCTTTTCCATATCCCTATATAACCCCAATTATGGGATCCCTATATAATAACCCTAAACCCTAAACCCTACTTGCCGCCAGCATGCTTCTTCAAATCCCACCATCTCCAGTCCTCTGCGTGACTCCACCTAAAGGTTCAGGGTTTAGGGTTTAGGGTTTAGGGCCTAGGGTTTAGGGCTTAGGGTTTAGGATTTAGGGCTTAGGGTTTAGGATTTAGGGTTTAGGGCGGATGGAGGTTTCAGGGTTTATTACCATTATTAAGGTTTGGGGCGGGTCATTTGGGTTTTGAGCTTTTGAACTTTTAAAAATTAGGGAAATATTGGTACCCTAAGCAATGGCAAGTTTACACGGGCTTGAGGGTTTAGGGATTCAGGTATAGGGTGGTTATATAGATTATTTAGGGAGTATTTAGGGAATATACGGTTATATTATAGGGTAAAATGGAGAATCACATGTATGGACAATGAAATGGACAACTGTGTGTTTCTATGGGGTTTGTACCAAGGAATGCAGGGGCCGAAATCATTACCGACATTAGCCAAAGGCGTATTTCAAGTATCCAACACCATAATTGTTCAAGGAACCAAGGGTCATAACATTGACCGCTGCAGTACGATTGCAGTGAACCCTTCTAGTGTTGGCCATAAGCCCTTAGCCCTAAAACCTTTAAACCCACTTTGCAAGAGAAGCCGTCTTGACTGACTGTCCCAGCCAAGCCCACCCAAACCCCTACCTTACTGGTGCTTAGTACTTCCCATGGAATATGTTATATAAGGATTATCTGAGGAGTATATCCTCTTATTCCCTACTAACCACCAGTAGGTATTACTACATCAGGGAAACTCTGGGGTTCTTGTTAGATCCCATAGAAGTTCTGGAAAGAGGTAAGACAGTTGTGGCAACATTACAACGCGCGTGAGATCAACGTCTCATGAACAGACCCTTGGAACCAAAACCCTAAACCCCTAAACCGGGTCCTGTAGAAAGTTATAGAAAGCCTCGGGGACATAAAGAGGGATACTATAGGAATATCTAGGGGGAACGGAAAAGAAAACGCACACTACTATTTGAGCTGTAATCTAAATTCCTTCAAGAAGGTTATATAGGGGAGTCTTATAGGGCATATTACTGGGGATACCAGGAGTTTAGACTATAGCGCTCATTTAGGCTTGAATGTTCGGGAAAATTAGTTGGAGGGTCAGGGGACTTAAGAAGTAGGTTAATACTTGGGGGTAACTGGGGTGACTATGTTGTTTATAGAGTTGTAAGTATACCTACCGAGCCGCCCTCGAAGTGTCTGTTTCAGGCAAGGTTCCAAATATTCACACCCAAATTTCTGCCGCGCGAGTTCACCTGCGCTCTGCCATTGGATGCATCAGGCCCAGCCCGCATAACCATGCACATCGCGAAGAGATCCTACAAACAATTTCCATGCACCCTAAACCCAAAGCCCTAAGTCCTAAACTCTAAGCCCTCAACCCTAAACTGCCTGATGCCAGTATGTGTGGGGGATGAACAGCGTATCGCCCGGTCCAATCTCCCCATGCAGCCAGGTAATGTTGGCAAAGCGCGGAAAGTTCACAAGATCTACGGAATCCTCCCCGTTTAGGCTTTAGGGTTGAAAGTTTTGGACTTAGGGTTTGGGGTCGAGGGGAAGTCTGGAAAGTCTGGTAAATAACAGGTGCAAAAGCTGACTGAATGACGATAATAATGACAACAATGCTAGTGAAACCAATAATAGTACGAGTCTTATTGGAAGCAAGCTTTATTAGAAGCAGTCCGCAGAGAAGTTGTGGATTTTCGGAACCACCCCAAACTCTAAACCCCGAACCAAGCCCCAAATCAACTCGGCAAACATCCAAGTCCTGTCGCACTGGAGAGGTTCCCCGCACCTGACCGAAACAGGGCTCACCAAAACCCCAAAACCTGAGGTTTGTGTATATGCGGGGTGTAGAAACTAGATGATCCTGAAGGTGTGACACGGGAACTTGCGAAAATGGACTCCTTCTCCCCCGCAAAGTCTGACCTTCTTCGAGTTTATTGCAAACTATGCTATAGGCTTAGGTGAGGCGAATTAGTCCTTCTTAGTGTGGGGCAGGGGGTTGCATGCTGGGGGAAGCCCAGGACGGCAGTATGCTTGTAAACCATATGAGCTACAGTCAATATTCCCATAATATAGTTAGCGGGGGACAGGGGAGGACCATACTAAACTACCAAATGGACATCTATGCCCAGCCTGGATGATGGTCCCTAGGCAAGCCTAATACTGATGCTAATTCTATATGTGCAGTCTCGGCAAGGACTGGAAAACCTAGAGCTAAAGTACTGTCCGGCCCTCCATAGCAATGTCTGTCACTTGCGCCTTGGCAATGTTGGCATAGATATTGGGAGCTTCGTCTTGATGTACCAGCATGACCTCAGCCGATATTCGGATCCTAAGTCCGTTTCGTACAGAACATTGCCGGCTGCTCACCAATGCAAGGGCTGGCAAAGTGGCGCTCTTGTAGCCGTCAACCAGCATCAAGAAGTTCTCTCCATCGTCATTGTGCAACACCTCATAGCTGTCACTGCCACGGCACAGGCTCGATGCATCTAGCCAGTCCCCAAAATTTACGGAACAGGTCCGCACGGACATGGTGCCGCCACTGCTCATCCACAGCGTTACGGATTGAGGCCAAACCTGCCAAACAAGCACTTGCGGCTCCACACATGTTAGTGTCCATCCCGCATGCCGAGCATTGGACTGCGGTCAACGAACATTTGCCTTAAGTTCTCGTCGTAAGGAAGCCCTTTCCTAACTGAATCTATCCATATTATGGTGTCTAACTTGAATTCCTTAACAGCAACCCAGGCAAGCAAGGCCTGGAAAACAGAGTGATTTGAATCTGGGCCCGTGCCTCCTTGCACCGGGCTGGATCTGGCAAATCCACATCTGCGAGTGCCTCCGGCTCATCTTCCAAGCCAATTACGGCCTGGGACCCAAACATGTTAGGACTTAGAGTTTAGGGCTTAGGGAACAAGACTCAAGAAGCACAACCTGGCATCTAGGGCGACAGTGCGCACTCTAGCCTGGCGTCGAGCCAACAGGGTGTGTGCCGAGCTGCATAAAGCTCGTCTTTCCTCTTGTCCTCACTTTTGTCAACAGTTCGACAGTGTAAAAAGGACTGTAATGGGCACCCCAAACCAGGAACCCCAAAGATATAGTACCTACATAATGGGAATATACCTGCTAGGGTCCTTGTCCTATGTTATCCCCAATATGCTCTTGGGGTTCCGTGTTTGGGGTCCCCATTAAAGCCCTTTTATAGTGAGAGTCTTTGCAGCCAAGAGGTTCGGTCTGCTTCACACACAACTTCGCAGGTTTCACAGCTGTTGAAAGCATGGGTCCCCCTACGCGCCCCCCTTCCTGGGTCCCTAGATAGCCTTAGTCAAACAGGGTGAACCATGGGGTGAGTATTGGGGAGGGTGGGAGGGGATCCATGGTACAAGTACGGCGTGGGCACTTTGAAAGCTTACACATCCCTTCAAGCAGCAACCCAACCTCTTCCTTCAGCCATAAGAGCGCGTATTGCATCCCATCCCTAGGACCTTTTCCACATCATACGAGGGATGTAATTTAATGTCAGATCGCCTGAGGGGTCGGGGTGGGTCCCCGCTCTAAACCCTCAAACCCGCATGTTGGACCTGCATTAACGCTTACAGAGTTTCCGGCTATCGTTGCAAGGCGCTCTATACTGGGTTTCAATTTGAGTCCCTAACATAATTCAAATCATCCCCATTTAATCTCACAACCACGGGAGCCTTCAAGCGGGACCCCCTGCGGGCGGCCCCTCACTAAGCAGGTCTCACATTCAATCCTAAGCCCCTAAACCCTAAACTTTGAAACCCCATAAATCTAAAACCCTATGCCCCAAACGTCTAATTACACCCCAGAGCTACCGGGCCTTGTATATCTCCTTGACAAACTTGGAGAAGGGCCACTTAACGCTGGGCCCACCCCGCTCCTCCACCTTCAGGGGTAACTCACGTTTTTGAATGTTTTTGACACAGAGACATCCAAGAGTTCCAGCCGGAAGCCGCTGATTTAAGGTTTAGGGTACACGCCCCGGTTGCTTCATGACATTGTTGAGATTCAAAGTCACACGCATTTGTTGACACTGTTTTTGTTGTGATTTTCATGCCTTCTTGGAAAACGCGTTGTGGGTTTTTCATCATTATGTTAAGGAAAAATCTCTTCATGATTCCCTCGTGGTACTTGTTTGCCATCCGCCCCCTGCCTGTAGTTAGCCCGTGCTCCCGCAACCTCCCCACGGCAAGCCTGAAGAGACCTATGGCATGAAAAGCGACATTCCTTTCACGGCCGCTTTCGCGCCACGTACCAAAAACAACATCCGTGATGTACAAGCTTCATGTGTGGGGTAATCCCCTGAGCATCTAAAAAGCCTTATGCTAAAAGATCTTCCCCTTGAGATGTTGAGATGTGTGAGGTGCCTTCTTCATCTCGATGTCCACAATCTTCTGGTCACCCCATAAGTCCAAAAGGTAGGAATCCGTCCACTTTTCAAAAGCTCTCCTGCAGTACGGTCAGAGCATACAAGGCGTGTGTCGCTGAATCGTGCAAGTGTGCAATCGCAACAATATACAAAATCATGACAGAAGATGATTGGGTGCTGCTAAGGAACTTAAAAGGTATCCCTATTACTGTCCATACCTCTCCCTCTCGCGCTCTCTCTCTGATAAAACTCAGGTTCCATAACAGCAACTCAGGATGCAAAGAATCAACATGAGCCGAAGAGCTGGCTGCGCGCAGCGTCCTTGAGCACAACGGGTCCTTACCATTCGATGCTCTGCGCATTGTTTTGCATGTAGGGTTTGGGGATGGGCTTAGGATTGAGGGTTTTGGGACATTACCTCGATAATGGTCAGACAAGTGGAAAAGAAAGTGGAAAATGAAACAGATTTTGGGGGATTATCGGAATGTACAGGATTCAGGGTTCCCTCGCTGCCTGATAGGAGGGAATGCGAAAATATGAGAAACATTGGCAAATGCCATTTAGGATTCAGCGCTTAGGATAAGGAATGAAGGAATGGAAAAGAACATGGAAAATACTGTATTTCGGGGATTGTGTAGGGGATACTATAGCGATCCAGTCCCTCATTACCTTGTAATAACCATTGGGGTTTAGGGTTTAGGGTGGCCTGTGACGATGAGGCCAGTATAAGCGAGTAGCGGTTTGCGCGCACATAGTTCTGGTAGAAGGTTTGCCAATCTGGGATCTCTGAGAGGATCTCGATGGGCTTCTTGGAGCCCATCTCCTGCCAATGCTTGGACTGCATGCCCACACCCTCAAAGGGATTGACTTGCTGGTTCCTAGTAGGGAATAAAGGAATATAATTTAGGAGGACCCCCCCACCCTGTAATAGTGACTATAGGGGATAGTAAGGATTATCTTAGGGTCCTCTTATATTCCCAATATACCACTATTACAGGGTGGGGGGTCCTCCTAAAATATAATCCCTATTTAATGTATTCCCTCATTCCCTACTGAGAACCTGTAAGTTAAGGGTTTAAGGCTTTGGAGTTTAGGGCGTGCAGTTTAGGCTTCGGGTTGTGGGACCCTTAGAGGGATCCGAAAGATAGGCCCCCCTTGAATTCTATGGTGACATAGCTTACTTGTTCTTAGTAGGGAATGAGCCAGGGAGACTATAAGGGATAACAGTGATCATATTAGGGTTCTCTTATATTCCTAGTATACCACTATTATAGGGTGGGGGGTCCTCCTAAACTATGGCTTTCTTCAAGTTTCTGAAAAAGCAATCGTCCAAGGTCGATCAAAATCAAAACTGACCAAACAGGAAGCATTCCAAAACCTGAGATAAGGCTCTCTCTCCCCCTCACCCTCCCTAGAACCCATATGACCCTAAGGAATCCCTATATAACCCCTGCATAACCCTTTCTAGCCCTATATAATCCTTACATGGCCCAGTATAGGTAGAATATATATATGTATGTATATATGTGTATACATATATACACATACATTTACATGCATGTATAAGCCATGATTTGGTGCAAAGTTCGGTGAGGTGGTTCTAACTTGCCTGATCAAATGTTAACGTTCATCTTCCCAATGTATTTTTCGCAGACCCCAGTAGAGGGCTTAGGGTTAAGGGTTCAGTGCAACAACTCAACAATCCCCAATGCGGTACTGAGATTACTTTGAAAGGTTTCCCTGTTTTGGATCCTTGTGGGGGGTCTGGGTTACTTGCGCGGCATGACCCTGCAGAAGGCACGACTTGTACTCTGCAAAGGGATCAATAAGAACCCGCACATGTCCCCTTGTAAGACCTGTAGATCCCTAGGGTCTCTAACACCATTTTTCCTTGGACCCTAAGCAAACCTGAAAAGTTAAAACCTTGAACTCCAGAATTCCGTCTGACGCGTCTCTAAGGAATCCTTACGAGGGGTACCATACATAGGCGAACCATAAATACTGACTCCACTAAAACTCAAACCCTAAGACATCCGCATGGGCCTCCCTAGAGCTTCCAAAGGCCCCCAAAGGTCGACCAATAGGGGGGCCTCCTTTTTTGGGGTCCCCGTTCTTCCGCAGCCTTGTACAGGTACCTAGAAGACTCTGTTCTGAAAAAACCGTACACGCAAAGCTCTACACCCTAAACTCAGGGGGCTCAAAAGGCAGGATGAAGGTGGGGGGGTTGAAAGATCCCTATTATAATATATACCCTACTTTGGTTGGCCTTTGGAACCCTTTGAAAAATATTAGTATATGGGGTTCCTTATGAAGCCAATTAGGGAAAATTTCTAAGTATCCCAAAGGCCAACCCAGCTACTATATTGGGGCTTCTTTCCTATACCCCACCTTCCTTTACCCCACCTTTTGAGCCCTCTGAGTTAAACCATTAAACTGTCCTGCATCGATTTACCATGCCCTGGCAGCTCAGCACTTCCACCCCCGTAATCCGTCGCTCCTCCCCAAGGCTGTTGTGCTACCCCTAGGGGTTTAGAGTGTAGTATAGGGTATAGTTCCCCTTAAGTAGATAGAATATGGGGTATATGGGGATCTTAATACAATATACCCAAAGCCATATTCTATCTACTTAAGGGGGACTATAGTTTTTTGTCTTCTTTCTTGTGTCCTTTTCTGTCCATGCTGCGCAGCGCATGTCTAGGGGTTTAGGGTTGGGGGTTTGGGGTTAGGGTTACGGATGTACCTTCACCGAAACTGACATGGCACTCCATATAGCCCTCTTTTAAGAGGACAGTAGTCTTTGAGGGGCCCTTCCAGGTTGCATGTTTGTTTGGATTCGAGCTTGGGGTTTGGCAGGGGAAAAAGGAAAAGGACACAAGGATGGTTCTTGAGGATTATATGAGCTATAGTCTAAACTCCTAGTATCCCCCTTCACAAGCCATATAGTAATTCCCTATATGATCCCCTGTATAACCCCTGTTAAGGAGTTTAGACTATACAACATATCGAAGGTTGAAACCATAGGCCCCTAAGATGGGTCCTCATCCCTGGGATCCTTATATGCCTACTATATATACCCTCCATGTACCCTGAAGGGTCCCTACAAGGCCTAAGGGCCCAGATTAGCTGTACCCTAAACCCTAAACCCTAAAAACTTGGTACACTTCTCGATTTGTGCGTACTTCTAGGTCATATGAGGACTATCGGGATGGCTTTTTCCATTCCCTAGTAGGGATTAGAGTTTAGGGCTCTGGGTTGAGGAGTTGGGATTTAGGACTTAAGGTTTAGGGATTAGGAGTTAGGGATTAGGATTTGGGGCTTAGAGTTTAGGGAGGAGGGATTATTTACGGTTTAGGGGTTAGGCTTTAGGACTGATGATCGTGGTCATTGCCCGTGGAGGATGGAACAGCAACGGTAAGGTATTGCCTCCCCCTACTTTCATCGCCTTCACCCCATACCCACCATTACATACTTTCATGGTGGTATACTAAAGACCTTAAGAATACTCAATATGGGCCGGTTTAAAAGAGGAGAAAATCATAAGAGCAGTCTGTCCTTCTGATATGTTTGCAAGAGGGCTGTCTCAATCATCGCCTGCCCCAACACATACCCGAAGGCACTAGGCCTTTATCCTGACCAACATTTCAGACAACTTTAACTCCACCCTACAATTGCGAGGCATCGCGGTGCAGAAGACTCCAAAAATGGCGTCAAGGTCAAGCAGCTAGTGTCCTTCCGCAACCTTTGCTGCCAACACTCACAGAAATGGAGCAACTGTCACAATCGCTTCACAGTTATCTGCCCCTTGGCAAAGTAAGCCCTGCTGTTCTGGCAAATACTCTGGCTATGGCTAGGGAGCATATAGTCCCCCTTAGATAGAATATGGAATTGACCTATATTAGAATCAGGTGCCCATATACCCCAGATTCTATCTACTTAAGGGGGACTATAAGTAGGTGACATGCCTTGTCATCAGGCTCTTTGCCTAGATGCTGTCTCTGGTCGTGGGGCTTTCTGCTCAGCAAGGCAAGCAACCTCAGTGCAAACTGTAAAGGGGCTATATCGGGTTTTATAAGGGTATATCTATATATGGGTAGTTCCCGCGTAGCTCGGTATCCCTATACATTAGGTGCCGTTATATAGTTATATAATCCACACCCAAATTGAAAAGGGGCCCATAATTCTGAAAACAACACGTATAGGGATACATAGGGTTTCGTTTACAGTACCTGGTCTTTCAATGCAAAGCTCAACTCTGAAGCTCAGGTCAAACCTTCCACCTGACAACTGAACCCACCCCCACTAAAATCAACCCTACTTGTGATACCAATTACCTACAGTTTCATGGGTTATACCTACTAAATAGAGTAAATACTATTAAACTGTAGGTAATTGGGGTTGCAGGTAACCCTAAACCCTAAATCCTCATTATGTTTAAGTTACAACCATGACTAGCCATGGTAGCGTCCGTCCATGGGGAACAGTGGCTGCAGGCTTTAGACTAAACAAGCACGATAATTGGGGTTGTACAGGAGCTACACTCCATGCCTTACCAGCCTAAACCCCAGACACCTCGCCCCAAATAATAGTCTAGTGACCCTACGCCCGAAAGGATATAGAAACCATAAGCCCAAAAGGATCTAAACGCCAAAGGATCTAAGAATTAGATCCCCTAGAACCATATGGTGAATCACATGAGGGCTACATAGGGGTTTCAATGGGTCTATGTAAGCAATCTATTGTTTAGATCCTCCCAGGGGTCTGGGTGAGGAAGTTCATAGGACAAGGGGGACTATCACCCCAGCATATACCCTATTATCCCTATATAACCCCAATATAACCCCGATAACCCTAAACCCCTATATAACCCCTATATAATCCATATATAACATAGTAGTTGCCATTTCATTTTCCATTACCCATATATATCCTCTATACATAACCCCAATCTACTATAGTGGTTTCCATTTTCTTTTCCACTATCCCTATACAAACCCTGAAAACCCAAGATTCTATCTACTCAAGGGGACTATAAACCCTAAACCCTAAGCCCAATAGTCTATCTACCTAAGGGGTGGTCGCGAATACAGCCTAGCAGCCTGGAAAGCTACTAGGAGAAGTCCATGGCACCACGCCAGCGCCATGGCCGAAGGAGATTGCCACTAACCCACCCAAGCCCTAAACCTTAAACCCTAAACCTTAAATCCCAGCCATTCCAGCTTCTAGATCAGGATGGTTTCGGGGATGTTTTGCGGATGCATGCTTCAAATTTATAACATGAGCTATAGTCAAGACTCGTAGTATCCCCCTTCAAAACCCCCACAATTCTCCCCTATGCAACCCCCAAAAGATATATATATATATACATATTTGTATACTTATATTCATATATACATATCTATGCCCTTTGAAGAGTTCAGTTTCTATGAATCCTTGAGCCTCTCTTTTGCTGCCGTTCCTCTGCTCCTTTTTGCAACTGTTGCAGATGAAAGGCTTTGGATGCCACCGGTTAGGGTTTGGGGTTTGGGTTTAGGGTTTTGCAACGCTTTTTTTACAAACTGCAAAAAATAATGCCCATGGGCAGCATGTTCAAACAAACAGCCGCTATGCTCTGTAGGGTTTAGGGTTTAGGGCCCAGGGTGAGGGTTTAAGGTTTAGGGCTTAGGGTTTAGGGGTTGGGCCCTGCCCCCACCCATTAACAGCCTATAATAGGGGTCATATTAAGGGCTATATATATTTGATTACATGGGGCATTCTCAAAATTACTGGCAACTTTTGGTTATGGATTATACTACGGCAGCTAATATCCCAAATGGGACCCTAATCTTGGGAACTAATTCCGCTCGTCATGCTGCCATACCCTTAGGCGCAGGAAGCATAAACCCACACCCTAAGTCCTCCACCCTAAACCCTAAATCCCTACTCATGGTGCCAGGGTGTAGAGCTGCCTGCAATGCTTCACAAATTTGGCAGCTGAATGCCACGGAGATTTGCGGGGAGCAACGGTGTAGCCTAAATCCTATAGTCCCCCTGAAGTAGATAGAATATGGCTCTGGGTATATTATAATAAGATCCCCATATATCCCATATTCTATCTACCTAAGGGGGACTATGAAGCCTTAAAGGTGTGGGCTTCCAAATGTCTCTTGATGGCTTGAGGGTGTTGTACAGGTTTTTGCTAGTTTCCACGAATAGGGCAAATCCAATACAAACCCCCAAATACTATAATCCTTCTTGTAGAGACCCCCCCAAAAAAGAAAAGCTACTACCCCATTTTAGAGAACCTTCACATAGATATGCAGCGCTTGGGAGGCTTAACCATCTGTCACCGCCACTGTTGGAAGTATCTGTAGCGCTAGGCCAGACACGCGCGAAAGGTGAGCCACCCGACTGCTCCTGACGCATGGGGGGGGACTGATGTTATCATAAGATATGGTATCCTGATAAATATGCGATCATCATGTAGTCGTAGAACAAGCTTGTAACCGCTAGTATACAAACCTACTATGCAAATCCAAGAGCAACATCTTTTTGGAGCGAAGTAGAGCAAACAAACACATGAATATACAAGACAAATATGAGCTAGAGTCTAAACTCCAGGTATCCCCCTTCATAGCCCTAAAAACTACTCCCCTATATAATCCCTATATACACCCCCTTTTAACTGCTTAAGGAGTTTTCACTATAGCTCACATAATAAATGACCTCAGACCTCCCCTAGGCCCCTAAACGCTGAACCCTAAACCCTAAACCCTACTTGGCACTTGACAGGCCTGATCTACGCTCAGAAACGAATGCAAATGCCTGGCGCGTACTGCAGGGGACTAATGGGGTATAGGGTTTAGGTTTTGGGGTTTAGGGTCTTGGGGTTGAGGGGGCATCAGACAAAGCCACATGAGCTTAAGTCTAAACCCCTTAAAGGAAGGGTTATGTAGGGGACCATTCTAGAGGTTTTTGAAAGGGATACTAGGAGTTTAGACTATAGCCCAAATGGAGAGAACACAGAAATGCAATGAACACTGGGTTTATGTAGGAGCTTTTTAGGAATGTGTCGTGTCCCAAAGAATTAGCAACTTCATGGTCAGGTTTTCTTCAGACACCCTCTACCATAACTAAACATAATAACTCCTGGGCCCTAACGGTTTAGGGTTTAGGGTAGCCACGGGACAATAAAATGCCCGAAAGAACTATCATGCACTGTACAAGTTAGGGTTTTCATGGGTTCCCCTACTACCCCCCCTCTACCCGCGTAATTAACCTTAATTGCCCACTTATCCCTCAATAACTGTAATTAAGTGGGGAACCTGGGGGGGGTCGCATAAGGGGGGGGGGGGTAGTAGGTGAACTCATGAGGTTTCAGGTTGAAGGTGTAGGGACTATCACAACAAGCCCTTTTGCAATCTCCCGCAAGCCTTCCATACCACTCCTATGAGCTATGGGGGTCCTGCGTTAATCCTTCTGGGAATATGATGGAAACTACCTTCAGGATTTAGGGTGAAACTTGGATCAATCCCTCCCCCACCTAGTAATGGGTACCACAAAAAAACTCTTGTAGACATATTAAGACCCTATTAACTCCATACTTAGGAGCTATTACTGTCAGGGGGATTGACCCTAGGTGAAATTACCTACCCCCAAACTACCCACCTGTAGGTGGCTTCAAATCTTGGGATATGCAAAGCACCAGTTCCCTAAACCCTAAATCCTGTGTACTGCCTCCTCTAAGTACCAGTTGGACAACAAGTATAACATATGGATAGTTCCAAAGTTAGGGTCCCATTTTGGTACCCCTAAATACTAGGTACCGTAACTGTAACTTAAAGGGTCCCAACATTTTGAGAACAACCCAGATTTATACAGTGGAGACGGTGGAGGCAGCACCCAACCTAAACCCGTAAGTGAACTGTAATCTAAACTCCTAGTATCCCCCTTAATAAGCCCTATAACGCTCCCCTATGTGACCCGCGTATAGCCCCCCCCAAGGAGTTTAGACTTTCGCTCAAGTGAGGTCGTCAAATTCGGCGGGTCAAGGCATGCCGGCCGTGCCATAGGAACTGAACAACTGCAGAGGAGACTTCCCGAGGATGTCCAAACCTGGTTGACGATGCACGACAGTAGGATCCCAAGATCAAGGGTTTAGGGTTTAGGGATTAGGATTCAGGGTTTAGGGCTTAGAGATTAGGATTTAGAGTTTAAGGCTTTCAGGCAGGGAGTTCCCAGGCAGGTACCATTGCAGAAGACGGTGTATGCTTGGAGCGCAGGACTAGACAAAGGGCTGCGCAAGGCTTATATGGGGGAAACTACCCGGAAATTCCGGCCACGAAAGGGTTTTGAGTTTTGAGTTTAGGGCGTAAGCCTTGCATGACCCGAACACAAAGCCAAAACGCTGGAACTAAGGCCCTGCAATAACTTTCAACCCGAACCCCGAAATAAACAGAAAGGTACGTTACTGGGCCCCCATTTTTGCGTAGGTAGGATTTTTAAGGTTTTTATACATTACAATGCGTCCTGATGGCTTCATAGCAATTAG